AAAAAAAAAAAAAAAAAAGAAAATAGAGACCCTGCCCTCACTCTCTTCACCCCGAACCCTGGGCTTACCTGTTTTACCCACTGTGATGTCCTACGGGTATTTCAGATGGATGCGCTGAGTCTCCTGCCCTTGGATTTACTCTACTTGAAGATGGGCGTGAACCCCCTCCTTCGTTTGCCCCGGTGTTTAAAGGTAGGACTGGTGGGTCCCACCATTCCTGCCCTTCAGCTCCTCTGTGCTGTGCACCAGCACTGACATCTTAATGGCCATTCCCAATAGCCCAGGGCAGGGGGGTGGTGTCCTTGAGGGATGGCACAAGGGGAGAAGCATTTTTCCCACGTGTACCTTAGTGGAAAGTTGATTACAATTGCTAGCACTTTCTGTTCCAGGGACTCTACAAAGACTTACTCCTAAGCCCATAGCGTGAGTGTTATTACCACCATTTCACAAATGAAGGGACTGGGGCACAGAGAGTTTAAGTAATTTGCCCAAGGTCACACAGCTAGGAAGACGTGGACTGCAGATTTGCAGGAAATCTGCCTCTACTGTTTCTGCATTCAGTAATGATGGACACGTTCAAGAGAAGGGCTTCTGTTTTATGATGGCCTCTGTCCAAAAGATAGGGAAATTGATGCTTGGCGAGGCTGGGTGACTTGCCAAAGTGGCAGGTGTGAGGAAGTGCCGGGGTGGATTTGAAAGCACACTCCGGACACCCATTTCATCCTTGGTTGGGCTCAGTGTCATTCCAGCCGTTCCTTCTGCTAACTCACTGGGCAGATTCTGTGTCCCAGGGAGTCTGGCTGGCACAGCATGGACTGGAGACCTGGTATCTGTCCTGTAATGTGACCAGGGTGGCTAGTCATTCAGAGCACATGTGATCCCCCAAATGGATTTTACGAGCCAGCCAATTAAATTCATGTCTCCTGGACATGATGCCTGGTGCCTTTTCCCAAAAGCAGTACTAAAGGAATTTACAAAAGTGGGGGGAGGAGGGGGAAGGGAAGGCAAGCCACAGACATGGCCACCATGCCTGGCTAGTTTTTCTATTTTTAGTAGGGATGGGGTCTTGATCTTGGTTAGGCTGGTCTCAAACTCCTGAGCTCAAGCAATCCACCCTCCTCGGCCTCCTAGAGTGTTAAGATTACAGCCACCATGCCTGTGTTGAGCCTCCTGTTTCGCTCTGCCCTGTTTCTCTGGGTTATTAATGTTACCGCATTTGTCCTTTTTTTTTTGAGACAGAGTCTCACTTTATCACCCCCAGTAGAGTGCCATGGTGTCATAGCTCACAGCAATCTCAAACTCTTGGGCTCAAGCAATCCTCTTGCCTCAGCCTCCTGAGTAGGCATGGTGGCTATAATCTTAACACTGTCGGAGGTGTGAGGACCCTGATGAAGGAGAGCACACCTGGCTGGAAGTGAGCATGGGGGCTGCCTCGGAGCCTCCTGGCTGCCAAGAGGGGAAACTGTAAGTGGCGCGATTCATATCTGACACGTGTCGTTCCCCTGGGGGCTGCAAAGAGTGCATTAGAGCCAAACATCAGGTTGAGGAAGGTTGAGCCCCCAGGCTGAGTTTCACCCCAGATGTAGAGGTGAGACCCGTGTCTTGGTTCGTGCAGTGGCCCTGGCGAGTGTGCATGCCTCATGGGCCTAACATTTAGCTCAACTCAGAGGGTGAGACTCAGTGAGGGAGCCACGCCCATGGTCATTCTGCATCCAATTTAAACTCTAGATGCAAATTAGAATGAACGTTTGGATGATAACTGGCACAGCCCTCGGGGAATCTTCATAAATAGTATTTTCAAATATAAAAAATAAATATGTGCAGGCTTGGCGCCTGTAGCTCAGCGGCTAGGGTGCCAGCCACATAGACCAGAGCTGGCAGGTTCAAATCCAGCCTGGGCTTGCCAAACAACAATGACAACTACAACCAAAAATAGCCGAGTGTCGTGGTGGGCGCCTGTAGTCCCAGCTACTTGGGAGGCTAAGGCAAGAGAATCGCTTAAGCCCATGAGTTTGAGATTGCTATGAGCTGTGATGCCACATCACTCTACTGTGGGTGACAACGTGAGACTTTGTCTCAAAAAAGAAATATAAATAAATAAATAAATATGTGCAAAGATAGGGGCGGGGATGGATAAAGTAGCAAAATGCAAAGAACTTGTAGCTTTGAATTCTATCTGGGTTTGAGAGCTGTCTCCGTCAGGTGCTAGGCTTATGCTCTGGACAAGTGACTGGGCTTCTCCAATTGCCAATTTTCTCTCTGTCAAAGGACAAAGATAATACGTACCACACATGTAAATGAGGAATAAGGTGATGTACGTAAAGTGTCAGTCATATCACAGGTACTCAAGAAAGTATCTTATTATTATAGATCAGCCTTTGAAGGATTAAGGGAGGAGTGTTAGGGATGCCGTTTCTTTATAAAATGGTTTTCTTCATAAATCACATTCAAAACAGCATCCTTAACCTGGGACACACCTATCCCCCAAAGTTTCATGATAGGAGTCAGGAGGTCCAGGTGTCCTCTGAAATTATAAGCAAACTGTGAGAATGTGATTATTTGTTATTTCTGATGGGCTGTGGCTTTCATCAGATTCCTGAACGGAGTTTCTAGCCTCCACCCTTCAAGGGGCTGAGGCCCTCCGATTCTGAATAGTCACTGAGAATTCCCCTCCTCCCGGGAGCTGCAGAAGAGGCCCTTGGTCCTGGCACCCAGGGGGGTGGGGGCAGCATGCAGTAGAGACCAGGGCTGCCCTGACGCCTTGCTCTCCCTCCAGTACATGGTCTTCTTTGAGTTTAACAACCGTCTGGAATCCGTGCTCAGCAAGGCCTACATCTATAGGTGAGACACCTCCCGCCATGCCTACACACAGAATGTCTGCAACAAGAATATCCTGCTCCCTCCATCATGATGAGGGCACACATAGGCCAGTACAGGGGTTCTGGCATTGCCAGCAGGGCCCACATTTTTATCTCAGCTTAGGGAACTGAAGCCCCTACCCAGCTCTAATAGAACAGAATGGCTGTGAGGTCGCAGTGGGCCCTGTCACAGGTGTCCAAGGATGGGGCACAAGACCACCAGGTTGCACTCAGGGCACGAGGCTTCTGTCCATATTGCTCATGCAGTGGGGGTGGGGGGCATGGTCTGTGTCTTCCCTTCTCTGCATGATCTGGGCCACCCCCCCCCGCCTCCCAGTGGATATGTTTCCCCTCTGGCCCCTCCACTCCCCCAAAACTTGTCTGTGCAGGTGGCCCTGCTTCCCCTGTGCCAATTCCTGCCCAAGTCTTTACAATGTTCATTTAACTGCCACCATTCCAGCCCCCCAAAGCATCTGTTGCACCAGCCTGGTTACTGGTCGGTTCCCACTGGCTGGTGTCCCCTCTCAGCCACTGTGTTCATGCCTCTCCTCCTGCAGGGTCATCAGGACCACAGCCTATCTCCTCTACAGCTTGCATCTGAATTCCTGTCTTTATTACTGGGCTTCGGACTATGAGGGCATTGGCTCCACTCATTGGGTTTATGACGGTGTGGGAAACAGGTGAGCCATAGTTTCTCTCCTGGGACCACCCCCGGGTGGCATTCCTATTCTTTCTACTTCACAGCACAGGGACTACAGAAGGAGTTCCACTGCCACCATGTTGCCAAGGCTATTTTGCTCGTAAGGAATCACGGACAGGACAAGTTTCAAGGGCAAGCCTCCGTGTCTTCTCCGTGCTAAGGTGTCTTGAGCACCTGCCATGCATCAGGTAGTAGGGTACAAATGTGAACATGACTTGCCAGAGGGCAGCACCTGTGGCTCAGTGGGTAGGGCGCTGGCCCCATATACCAAGGGTGGCAGGTTCAAACCCGGCCCTGGCCAAACCACAACAAAAAAAATAGCCAGGCATTGTGGCAAGCACCTGTAGTCCCTGCTACTTGGGAGGCTGAGGCAAGAGAATTGCTTAAGCCCAAGAGTATGAGGTTACTATGAGCTGTGCTGCCATGGCACTCTACCAAGGGCAACATAGTGAGACTCTGTCTCAAAAAAAAAAAGGAAAAACTAGCATGGTGGTGGGCACCTGCAGTCCCAGCAACTCGGGAGGCTGAGGCAGGAGGATCGCTTGAGCCCAAAAGTCTGGGGTTGCTGTGAGCTAGGTTGACACTATGGCACTCTAGCCATAGTGTGTGGAGGTGTGGGGTGAGGACCAGGGCAGGCCTGGAGAGTCAGAGCACAGGCTTTAGGACAAGGAGGCCCAGGCCTGACTCCTGGAGCTGCCATCTGCCAGCAGTACACAGGTCACTTCTCTTTTCTGGGCCTCAGTTTCTTCATCTGCAAAATGGGGCTTAAAATGCAACTCATACCCTAAAGAAGTAACTGTGAGGGGTAGAGGTGGCTGAGTGGTTTTCCCAGTGCCAGGCCACAGTGGGCACTCAGTTGGCCATAGCGATGAAGAGGAGGAGGAAGGAAGGGTTGAATGGAGAGTTAGTCACCTCTGTGCTCCCTGCCTCACCCTGGGGTATGTCCATTAGTGATGCAAAATGCTCACAGCCCAGCCTGTCAACCCTGTGTCTGCCTCCAAGCACTTGGGAAGACACTCAGACTCCCTTGCTGAAGGTTCACAAGCCTGTGTCAGGGGGTTACTGATAATGGATGACAGCTCAGGAACAGTGCCCAGGGTTCTAGTCCCCGCTTTGGAAGTTGCCAGCTGGTGACCATGGGTGTTCCTTTTCCTTTTTGGGCCCTCAGTTTCACTGTCTGGAAAATAGCTGGAGTCAGAAAAGTTGGTCGTCAAGATATCTTCCAACTCTGACGGCTTTCTTGCTTCCATGAACTAACACAACCGGGAATAGCAAAGGCAAAGACAGTGTGAATTAAAGGCACATAGAAGGCGCCCAGTCATCAGTGTCAGGAGACCTGGCAAACCGGTTGCAGCACGCTCTGTGCTTGTGAGAGGGTTTTTCTTGCCTTTATGAGCTGTAAAGGGCCTCTCCCTTTTGCGCGATATGCCTCTATCCGAGGGGTCTGCCACCCAGAGTCAGCGGATCGGGGCCTGTGATGACCGAGGTGCCTTTTCTCTTCTCTCTCCAGTTACATTCGCTGTTACTACTGGGCTGTGAAGACCCTCATCACCATCGGTGGGCTGCCGGACCCCAGGACGCTCTTTGAAATCATCTTCCAGCTGCTAAACTATTTCACGGGTGTCTTTGCTTTCTCTGTGATGATCGGACAGGTAGCTGGGACATCAGCCTGGCTTCCCATCCCCCCGACTGCAGGGCACCTCCCACCGCTACCAGAAATGTCACCCTGTGCTTCCTCCTTTTGGACTAAGCCTGGGAAAGAGCACTGGTCTGGGAGTCAGGACCTGGGCCCTGCAGGTTGGGGGTGCCTAGGTCCCTCTTCCCCCCCAGGTCATTTCCATTTGAAATGTTGGTCCCTTTAGGGTCCCTCATGAGCTGAGCTGAAGGGTTTTCTGTAAAGGCTGAGGAGTTGGGCGGCTGCTTTCAGAGAAACCCCTGGGGAAGCGTCTTTTATCTCAGTCAGTGCATGACGTGACAACTGGGGGTTCTCTAAGTTGCCTTTAAAGGCACCACGGTGCGGAACAAACAGTATGGCTGGGTCCACATTTCCTCTAGCATTAGACAGTGGCTGCTGGCCCTGAGGGGCCATGAGGTACCAGAATCAGCCCAGCCCAGCAAGGTGTCCCCTTCAGCTGGTGGAACTGAAGCCAACCCAGGAGCCGGCCACCTCACTCCCCCCTCCCATGTCAGCAAAACATTCTCTGTGCGTGGACATGTTTCTTCCACTCTCCCAAACCTCAGGCCCCCCCATCCCGTTCCCCAATCACCTGCTCCTGGCCTGTGTAAGCTGACACATCCCCAAACCCACTGAATAGCCCCTCTCTGGCCCACTGGCTGCCTTGATCTTGCTTAACCTTTTCCCCCAGATGAGAGATGTGGTGGGGGCTGCCACTGCGGGACAGACCTACTACCGCAGCTGCATGGACAGCACGGTGAAGTACATGAATTTCTACAAGATCCCCAAGTCGGTGCAGAACCGTGTCAAGACCTGGTACGAGTACACCTGGCAGTCACAAGGCATGCTGGGTAAGATTGGCCGCACCCCCGCCTGCCCCAGCCGGCTCTCATTGCCTGGTGCTTGCCTTCTGAGGCCTCCTTCATCCTCTGTGTCCTTGAGGCCCTGAGCAGTGGGGCCTTATTTTGGTTGTGGCCCCAAGGTTTATGTGAGAGGGACCTAGTGAGGCCTGTGACATGTCCCACGCTGGCCAGCACAAGATCTCTGAAGAATATGGGGCTTGTCTTCCCGGTGCCTGGCCAGCTCTTTCACTCACCCCAAAGTGCATCCCCAGTGAAGACCGAAGTACAGTTTAAGTCAGGAGAGAAAGAAGACCCCCCTCTTATTTCCTCTTCCTCCTGCTCTTGCTCTCTCCCCCTTCCTATCCTGTCTTTCTCTGCCAGGCCCCTGTTCCCCCAAAGCAGGCTCTAGAGCAGTGGTTCTCAACCTGTGGGTCGTGACCCACAGGAACTGTATTAAAGGGTCACGGCATTAGGAAGGTTGAGAACCATTGTTCTAGAGCCACACAGCTCAGGTAGGATCATGACTCCATCTCCCTGTGCTGTGTGGCTGTGGGCAAGCCACTGCCCCTTCATCAGCTATAAAGTAGGGATCATAGTAGTGGGAAGCTCTTGGGTTCTTGGGTTTAATAAAATAATTTTTGTAAAGAAGTGCCCAGCTTATAGAAGTGCTTGATAACTAGTTCCTGCTAATGTTCTCAGAGTGTGAGTGGGGAAGACAGATCATCAACAATTGCCTTAAAGGGTATGATAAGTGCTAGAGCACAGGGGCTGCTAACCCAGGAGCTGGGTGGGAGAGATCAGGGAAGGCTTCCAGGAGGAGGTGACGATAGTGCTGGTTCTGAAGAATGAGTAGGAGTAGTCAGGGAAGTGCACGGGGGTGTTCCTGGCAACAGCCTGGAGGAGAGAGAGGCTCTCTCCACATCTAGATGGTTCCATGTGGCAGGGCTATGGTGTGCCCAGGTGAGCCAGACCAGTGGGGACTTGGCCCGAATGTGTGTGTGGGGAGGATCTCAGCTCTCTGGTGACCCTTGCCGGGTTTCATTCACAGATGAGTCAGAGCTGATGGTGCAGCTTCCAGACAAGATGCGGCTGGACCTTGCCATCGATGTGAACTACAACATTGTGAGCAAAGTGGCGCTCTTCCAGGTACACCTGCCCCTGCCCTCACCCTGGGGGCGCTGCGGGGCTCTCAGCCCCGATCTCTCCCTAAGCAGAATCCCTTTCCCCTCCTCTTGGAGCAGGGCTGCGACCGGCAGATGATCTTTGACATGCTGAAGAGGCTTCGCTCTGTTGTCTACCTGCCCAACGACTACGTGTGCAAGAAGGTGAGGCAGCAGCCTTGCAAGGAGCTGGGCTGTAGGGGGCGCCTGTGAAGGCCCAGTGAGGTTTGCACGCTTGGGTCAGAGTGGGATGGTTGGGAGGGAGAAGGGTGCCTGCAGCTCCATGCGCTGGTGACCTGACCAGTAGCAGATTAGGAGGCTTTCTCTAATTCCAAGCAGTGAACACAAACGTGCCTTGGGCTTTGCAAAGCAGTTCCCCCAGCTCTCTCCACATGTGACCATGGGGGCCAAGATGAGGAGCCCCATCTTACAAAAAGGGAAATGGGGACCCTTAACTGTGTAGGTGGGACTGCTTCCAGGATCTCTTCCCATCAGGAGAGGAGTGGGCCAAAGTCAAAGCTTGCAAACTTATGCCCCTTGGGGAGGATCCAGCCCTCAGGTAGTTTGTGAGTTTTTTTCTAATCTTTAAAAAAAATAGTTAAACTAGTCTCAAATCTTTAAAAATTGGAGGGGCAGTGCATGTGGCTCAATGAGTACGGTGCTGGCCCCATATACCAAGGGTGGTGGGTTCAAACCTGGCCCCAGCCAAACTGCAACAACAACAACAACAAAAAAGGTGGGTGTTGTGGTGGGCGCCTGTGGTCCCAGCTACTCAGGAGGCTGAGGCAAGAGAATCGCCTAAGCCCAAGAGCTGGAGGTTGCTGTGAGCTGTAATGCCACGGCACTCTACCAAGGGCAACAAAGTGAGACTCTGTCTTTAAAAAAAATTTTTTTTTTTATTAAACCAAAATTGGGAAGTTTCATATAAAAATCCAGATCTCTGGCTGAAAATAGAAGATCTGTTTACACTGAGTCCCAGTTTTCCAAATAGCAAGAGTCAGCTGGAGTGCAGGAAGGGTTGCCTGGGTAGGGCTCTCTCCTGATACCACAGGCCTCACCACTCCCCACTGCCCTATACCAGGCTCCCTGCACTGCCTGGCATCACCCATTGATCCTAGAACAACAATGACTAGAGTCCTTTCTGCTCCCTGTCTTTGGGATCCAAAGTGAGGCCAAAGTCACTGAGTGGGTGAGAGGAGGGCGGGGGCAGAAACTCAGTCTCAGTCCTCTGGTACAGAGCTGTTAAAAGGGCTCTGTGTGTGAACAGGGGGGGAAATATTGCCCAAGCAGGCTCTGTAGCAGTGAAGTTTTATTTATTTATTTATGTATTTGAGACAGAGCTTCAAGCTGTCCTCCTGGGTAGAGTGCTCTGGCATCACAGCTCACAGCAACCTCCAATTCCTGGGCTCAAGCAAGTCTCCTGCCCCTGCTTCCCAAGTAGCTGGGACCACAGGCGCCCGCCACAACGCCCGGCTATTTTTTGGTTGCAGCCGTCATTGTTGTTTGGTGGGCCCAGGCTGGATTCGAACCTGCCACCTTAGGTGTATGTGGCTGGTGCCTTAGCCACTTGAGCCACAGATGCTGAGCCAGCAGGGAAGTTTTAGAAGCAGAAAGGTAGGCGAACAAGGAAAAAGGATGCTACAGATGGCTGAGAATTTAAAGCTGTGGTCTTAGGAAGGCCAGGGTCTAGGAAGAATAGTGATCTTTCTGACATTGGAACCACTTCTTAGCTGTGTAACCACAGGCAAGTGGCTTGCCCTCTCTGAGCTCTTCTCATGGGCAAAGTGGGGATATTGACAGGCCCTCCCTGATGGGGGTGGTTGTGAGGATTGAATAAGATGTGCATACAGAGTTTGACGCCGCACCTGGCACAGAAAAGATGCAGGTGCTGTTGCTGCCATCCTGGTGAGAGATGTAGAGTTTGCTTTAGATGAGAAAAGTTGAATCAGGTGCTGGGCAGGGAGTCAGCAAGTTACAGTGAGCACTCTGTGAACGTGTGTGAAGGGCGCCCTCTGCTGTCTGGTCTTGCTCCACAACAATCTCTCTATGATGCCTCTGGAGGTGGTCAGTGAGGTGAGGGTTTCCTTACCCTTCTCACGGGTGTGACGCTGAACACAGAAACAGGGAGATGAAACTTCCCTCGTATTTGTCAAGAGGGCCACGCACATGTGAGATGCACAGGGAAAGTTTGCTGAATAATCAAAAGTGTAACAGAGTTGCAGCCCTTTAAACGACTATTTTATTTATTATATTTTCTGTTTACCTCCTCTGTGGTCGGGTCTCTGCCGAGGGTGACTGACAGGTAGCAGGTCTCTGAGAGCATGAGGATTGGAAGGCATGTGGCAAGCTGGGTGTTTCTGATTCCAGTCCCAAGCACGCTATTCATTCATTCATTCTATTTAATTTGGGATTAAGACCACTGTGTTAGTTTGCCATTATGTCCCAAATGTACACATACCACAGACTAAATGGCCTCTCTAGCTGGCCGCTTCTCTGTTTCTTGACATCATCCGTGCCTGTCTCTGGGTCCAAATTTCCCTTTTTATAGGACACCAGCCATATTGGGGCCCACCCTACTTCAGGATGACTTCATCTTAATTTAAGCAATGATATCAGCAATAATTCCACAACCAAAAATGTTGCATTTGGAAGCACTGGGGATTAGGACTTCAACATATGAATTTGGGGGCAGGGGACACAATTCAGCCCATAACAGCCATGAACTCTGGGACCAGACTGTCTGGGTTCAAATCCTGCTCTGCCTCATCCTAAATTTGTGACCTTGAGCAAAGCATAATCCTGCCTCAGAGGCTTGCTGGGGATTAAGAAAGTGTAATCATGTAAAGCAATTAGACCAATGCCTGGCACAGACGTGTTGGATTTTATTATTGTTGCTGTTATCATTCCTTATTTTTTTTTTTTTTGAGACAGAGCCTCAAGCTGTCCCCCTGGGTAGAGTGCTATGGCTTCACTGCTCACAGCAACCTCCAACTCCTGGGCTCAAGTGAGTCTCCTGCCTCAGCCTCCGAAGTAGCTGGGATCACAGGTGCCCGCCACAAGGCCTGGCTATTTTTTTTTTTTTTTTTGGTTGCAGCCATCATTGTTGCTTGGCGGGCCCAGGCTGGATTTGAACCCGCCACTTAGGTATATGTGGCTGGCACCTTAGCCACCTGAGCCGCTGTTGTCATTCCTATCGCAGTCAGCAAGTGCTTACCAAGCTCCTGCTATGCGCTAGGCATGGGTATTAGTTTATATCATCAGTAGGTCTAGTTCAGTGTTTTTCAACCTTTTTTTTTTTTTAATCTCAGGGCACACTTGAACCTATAGTTAAACTTCCGCAGCACACTTACATTATGTTGATCAAAAAAAAAGAGTGAAGACTGGGTGTGGTGGCTCATACCTATAATCCTAAAACTCTGGGAGGCCGAGGTGGGTTGATTTCTGGAGCTCAGGAGTTTGAGACCCCATCTCTACTAAGAACAGAAAATTATCTGGGTGTTGTGCTGGTGGGTGCCTGTAGTCCCAGCTACTTGGGAAGCTGAGGCATGAAGATTGCTTGAGCCCAAGAGTTTGAGGTTACTATGAGCTATGATAACGCCACAGCACTCAATGTTAGAGTGCAGAGTTAGACTGTATCTCAAAAAAAAGAAAAGAAAGAATAAACTTACTGTGCTTTGAACCTCTCTTGAAAAAATTTAATTAATGATCTTTAAAAATTTCATGGCACATCTAAGATCCTCTTAGTCACTGGTCTACCTGGAAATTTGCAGAATACACCTGCACCTCCCAGGTGAGCTAACTACAGGGGTTCTCAGTCTGTGGGTTGCAACCTCTTTGTAACAATGAAAATACATCCTGAATATCAGATATTTACATTACAATTCATAAAAGTAGTAAAATTAGAGTTATGAAATAGCAATGAAAATAATTTTATGGTTGGGGGTCACCACAACATGAGGAACTGTATTAAGGGGTTGCGGCTTTAGGAAGGTTGAGAACCACTGAGCTAGCACTTTCCATTCCATGACACCACGAAATCCCCACCATGACCCTGTGAGTTTGGCAGGGCAAAGGGTGTTCACTCCTCCCAGTGCACAGGTGAGGACACTGAGGCTCAGGAAGGAAGGGAATGGCCCCACACCACACACCACATTGTGGCCGGGGGGCCAGAGCCCAGCCCAGGTTCCTCCTTGCTGGACCTCCAGCCTCCAGCTCAGTGCTTGCTGCTTCTCTGGTGGCGTTGGGGCATGAGCAGAAGTCACCCCTTCTCTGTTTCAGGGGGAGATTGGCCGTGAAATGTACATCATCCAAGCAGGGCAGGTGCAGGTTTTGGGAGGCCCTGATGGGAAGGCTGTGCTGGTGACGCTAAAAGCTGGATCTGTGTTTGGAGAGATAAGGTCAGAGGGGAGCTGGGGTAAGATGGGGCCTCTGGCCAAGGCTGGGGACGGGGAAGGGGATGGGGTAGGGGGGTGGCCTGTGTGTGGAACTGAGGAAGGTGTTGATTAGCACTGGCACCTGCTGATGAATGGGGGGCAGGCTTTCCCCTGCAGGGGTGCACCATTGCACAGCGGGTCAAAACCACAGCCTCCCCAAGGTCTCACCCCTTTCTTCTCTGCCCAGCTTGCTGGCTGTCGGGGGAGGGAACCGGCGCACAGCCAACGTGGTGGCCCACGGGTTTACCAACCTGTTTATTCTGGACAAGAAGGACCTGAATGAAATTTTGGTGCATTATCCTGAGTCTCAGAAGTTACTCCGGAAGAAGGCCAGGTAGGTAACTTTATTGTCATTTAAAAAGAGATTGCTGAAGACGAGGACTTCAGCAATCGGTAAATGTAGGATTGAAACAATGCTATTTTATCTCATCCATAATCCACCTTCGGATTCTCTCACTGTCCCAGCAGTAGCTTTGTTTTCTTTTTCCCTCCCTGGTTTCTTCTCCTTTTCCATCCCTGGTTCAGTTCCAGGGTTGCACATGGCGTGAAGGTGCCAGGCATTCTTAGTCTCCCTTGATCTGGGACAGCTTCTCAGCCTTTTTCTGTCTTTAGCGACCAAAGTCATTCCAGCACACAGTTATTTTGTACAACGTCCCTCGATTTGAGTTTGACATTTCCTTGTACTTACCTGCAGGTTTCGCATTTTTGGCAGGAATAACTCGGAAGCAATGTGGTGTCTTGTTCAGTGAGTGTAGGGAGAGGCATGTGACAGTGGTTTCCTCCAACACTGGTGATTTTTACTGTGATCATTTGGTTAAGGTGTCTGCCTTGAAATGTTACTACTTACTAATTGATAAGTAATTTGAGGGGACTCACTTTGAAACGATATAGATGTCTTATTCCCCTTTGAGCTTTCACCCACTATTTTTTTTTTTTGAGATAGTCTCACTATGCCACCCTCGTTAGAGCGCTGTGCTGTCACAGCTCACAGCAACCTCAAACTCTTGGGCTTAAGTGATTCTCTTGCCACAGCCTTCCAAGTAGCTGGGACTACAGGCGCCTGCCACAATACCCAGCTATTTTTGTTGTAGTTGTCATTGTTGTTTGGCAGGACCCGGGCCGGGTTCAAACCCTCCAGCCCCAGGTGTATGTGGCTGGCGCCCTAGCCGCTGAGCTACAGGCGCTGAGCCATTCATGCGCTGTTTTGTAGCATTATGGATGGCTCCTTGCTAAATCAGTGATTGCCGGGAGGGTTGCAAAATGTCGGTTTTCTAACCTCCTCACTCCACATTTATTAGGTAGCAGTCAACTGTCAGGAAGAGCTTTTCCTTCTCTCCCTTCTCTGCTCATTTGTCTATGTATTTCTATAAGTATAGATTTCCTTTGTTCTATGAATATTATGTTACAGTCATTACTTGGATGCTCACAATTGTTCCAGTTTGGCCAGTGGGCAACTGTTCAAGCTGGCTCTGGGGAGTCTTTGTTATAGCGCCAGCAGATTTTAGCACTTCTGTGCTTACACAGGACGAAAAAGGAATAAGAAACCCTGGTTCCTCTTGTGCTTTCTCTGCTGTATCCTTGGAAATGGCCTTTTTTCCAGGGAGCCTTGATCCCTGTGAGTGGGGAATGGTTTTAGAAACCAAAATCTGAGTCCTAGGTGCACTCATTGCTACTGGGGTGCAACTAGGCCTTCTCAGGGGACAGAACTTCGAAACACACCCATATGCACACTTTATCTATAATAAACACAAATATGTATTTACACACATATGCCACTGTACACGCACATATACGTATTTATCAGTATCGATTTTTCTATCTATACCTACCTATTAATCAATCTACCTATGAAACAATTTCAGTCCAACACCACAGAATTCTTTATCTTCTCCCTTTCCATCCTTTCTCCCTTCAGAATTCCCAGACTCAGTTCTAAGTAGAGTTCGAGGTGTGACAGAGTTCTTTTGTCTTCTGTCTGAGTGTGTGTGACGCCTGTAGTGTATGTCCAGCGTTATTGGCATCCATTCTCCTCTCCCTCCCTTTTCATGTGGTTATTGTGAAATACAGCTGGGTTCGTTTGTTTCAGTTTACGGTTGTTTTGTTTCAGGGATTCCCCCTCCTACTCACTGATCCTTGTTGATTTTTTGTTGCTGTTTTGAGTATGTAAGGCATCAGCACATCTCCAGAAGTCAAACTCTACAAAAAGGCCTACTGACAAAAGTGTCCCAACTTTCCCCTGCCCCCGTTGTCACCCACTCTTTAAGGTGACCAATCTCACTAGCTTATGCTTTTTTCTTTTTCTTCCTGTGTTTACTTTTGCACTTAGAGGCAGATCTAAGAATATTTTCTTTCTTGTTTTTTCTAGCAGACCACTCTCTCTCTGCAGGATAAGAACATTTTCTTATTTCTCCTTGTTTTTTACACAAAAGGTAGTGTGAGGTGGATTCTTTTCTTTCACATGACATCAAATCCTGGAAATCATTTTCTGTCCGTCCCCAGACCACTTCCTCATTCCTTTCCCCAGATGTAGAGCGTTTCCTATGAATGGGCATTTAGGGGATTTCCAATACTTTGCAATTAACGAACAGTGCTGGCATGTGTCTGCAGGTCTGTATTTTTCATTGTTGGGGAATAGATAATTTTTTAAATCTGATTTTTGCTTTCAACCCCTTCAGATCAGGTTTCAAATTGAGCGCCAGGGACAGACCACTCACGATAGACTTGGGAGACTGATGGGGCTCAGATCCCTTCCATGTAACACACAGTACTGACTGTGTGACTTCGGGAAAGTTATTGAACTTTTCTGGTCTCAGTTTTCTCCTATGTAAAGGTACTAACCCTCCACTTTGCTGGCGTGAAGATTAAGCACTGTGCAGGGATGTCTCCAGGGGGGTGCCTGGCATCTGGGAGAGTTCAAGACATGCTAATAATGATCATTGTTCCCCTTTATCCACCAAATCCTCTCCATAATTTAATGGGATCAAACCCTTATAATCCACATATCTGGTTTTTTTTCCTTCCTCACCTTTGATCACATATTCTTACTCTCCACTTCACTCTGTGAAATGATGCCATAAGCAAACCGCACAGAGAGCAGTTGTAATGAGACAAACCTTCTCGCCAATATCCATTCCTACAACACAGTAATTTATTGAGTACACAATTCCAGTTCTAGGCCCTGGGGACCCAGCAGGAACCAGAGAGAGCTTACATTTTAGTCAGGAAACTGACAGGGGAAAAAATGAACGATTAGGAGATGCATCAGCCAGGGCGAGGAGGGGAGGTGACAGAGGGGGCTGTTTGAGATGAGCAGGTCAGGGGAAGCCGTTCTGAAGAGGTGGTGTTTCAGCTGAGGCCTGGCTGCAGGGAAGAGCATTCCAGACAGAGGGAATGGCATATCCCAAGGCCCTGAGGAGAAGCAGGCTCAGCGCCTGGGTGGCAGGACAGTAAGGAAATTGGCAGAGCTTGGTGCGGGATCAGAGAAGTCAAGGGAGAGGGGCTGGGCCTTGCAGGTCTGGGCTGTAATGACTTGGCCTTTCGCTCTGAGGGAGATAGGAGCCACACAGGGTTTTATATAGAGGAGTGACTTGATGGGACTTAGGTTTTCACAGGATCCCTTTGGCAGCTTCCGGGCAGAAGGATGTAGTGTTAATCTTTCAGTGTCCTACACAAAAGGCCTGAGGTCCCCTGGGGAAGAAAGTTGCCCTCTGACTCATCTCACCTGGCCACTCTCAGGGACCCACCAGGCCCTTGCAAAGGCCAATCTATGTGTTATTCCCACAGAATCTGCCCACACCCCCTCTCACATCAGCCGAATGCCAGCCCCTTCTTTGCCGAGGGACAGGGAAGTGGAGTAGATCCTCCCTCCTCAGGGATTCCATATTTGCAAATTCGCCTCCTCACTACAAGGTATTTGTAAGCCCAACTTCAGCCCTCACAGGCTTCTGTGGCCATTTGTGGACGTGCACAGAGTGGGGATAATCCGAGCCGCCGCGAGTGCCTGTTTCCAGCTGAGGAGCTTCTTGCTTCTTCTGCTTTTGTGCTATAAACAGGCGTCTTTTCTCGTGGTCTGTTTAATACCACATTTTTCACATATTTGTACACTTTATTGCTGATGTCACTGTTTTTTTCTTTTTTTTTTAAAGACAAGAGTCTCACTTTATCACCCTCTGTAGAGTGCTGTGGCATCACAGCTCACAGCAACGTCCAACTCCTGGGCTTAGGCGATTCTCCTATCTCAGCCTCCCAAGTATCTGGGACTACAGGCACCGCCACAACGCCCAGCTATTTTTTTGTTGCAGTTCAGTCTGGGCCGGGTTTGAACCCGCCACCGTCGGTATATGGGGCTGGCGCCCCGCTCACTGAGCCACAGGTGCCGCCCTGATGTCACTGTTAAAACTGTCCTCAAGTAAAGAGCTGAAGATCTTAGTTTTCCTAAGCACAGTAAGGCTGTGATGTGCCTGACACTGAAAATGTGTGTTTGATAAGCATCGCTCGAGCACGAATTGTAGTGCTGTTGGCTGTGCGTTCAGTGTTAATGAAGCAATAATATATATTAAATGAGATGTCTTTAGACAGAAACACACATAAAACAAGTGTGTGTATCAAGGTGATGACAGGCTTGCCGAAGCCTGACCCTGAAGGTCCCCTAGGTGCCACGTTCCGATACTTGTTAATTTAGCATTCCCAGAGACCTTACGGAACGTCATTACTGTGAATCAGGAGATTTGACTGCTTATGTCTGGAAACTGACACTAGGACTCCCCTTCCTAGTGGAATGAGGAGGAATAAAGCTCAGGAAAGCCATGCTTGTAGCTGTTAACCCATCCTGCTGGGTGGGTCAGGTGAGGGTTTGGCAAATCAGCTGGGACCCTGTGTGGCTGTCCCCGTTCCTTACAGTGCCTTCTCAACTGGAGAAGGCTGAGACCCAGGAGGCAGAAGGTGAGAGCAAATGGGGAGATAATGGGCCTTCAGCGTGGAGGGCCTGGGACGGGATCAGGCTTGACCAGAAAGGCAGAGGATTCTGTATGAGCTCTGCTAACCATGGAGAGACACTGTCTGAGAACCACAGGGCCCAGAGACATCTGAGTTGCTGAGGGATTCTGTTCAAACCCCCCCCCCTTTTACAGGTGGGGGACCTGAGTCTCTAAAGAAGTGAAGTGCTCAGATCTCAGATCTAAAAATGGGATGGGCTCAGTGCCCATAGCACAGTGGTTATAGTGGCAGCCACATACACTAGGTTGGTGGGTTCAAACCCAGCCTGGGCCAGCTAAGCAACAATGACAACTGCAACAGAAAAATAGCCAGATGTTGTGGCGGGCACCTGTAGTCCCAGCTACTTGGGACACTGAGGCAAGAGAATCGCTTAAGCCCATGAGTTTGAGGTTGTTGTGAGCTGTGATGCCATGGCACTCTATCCAGGGTAGACATAGTGAGACTGTCTCAAATAAATAAATAAATAATAAAAATGGGATGGGCTCGGCACCTGTAGCTATGGCTAGGGCACCAGCCACAAACACCAAGGCTGGTAGGTTAGAATCCAGTCTGGATCTGCCAAACAACAACAACTATAACCAAAAAATAGCTGGGCGTTGTGGTGGGTGCCTATAGTCCCAGCTACTTGGGAGGCTGAGGCAAGAAAATTGCTTAAGCCCAGGAGTTGGAGATTGCTGTGAGCTGTGGCTCCATGGCACTCTACCCAGGGTCACAGCTTGAGACACTCTCTCCAAAAATAATAATAATAATAATGGGATGAAGAATGGGTGTGGTGGCTCATGTCTTTAATCCTAGCACTCTAGGAGGTCAAGGAATGTGGATTGCTTTAGCTCAGTGTTTTGATACCAACCTGAGCAAAAGGAGACCCCCATCTCTACTAAAAATAGTAAAATTAGCTGGGCATCACAGAGGGCACCTGTAGTTCAGGAGGCTGAGGCAAGAGGCTTGCTCAAGTCCGAGAGTGTGAGGTTGCTGTGAGCTATGATGACACGTTGGCACTCTACCCAGGGCGATATAGTGAGACTCTGTCTCAAAAAAATAAAAATAGAAATAAATAAATAAAAATAAAAACAGGATAAAGAGGTCTTATGCCTTCCATCTTCTCCCGGGGTGATTCTTCCACACTAATTATAGGGAAGATACATTATCTGAACATGAGGATAAGTTTCCCTAATCTGGAAATGCCCCACAAGTCAACTTAATGTTTCAAAACAGAGACACCGATTACCAATCAGCAAAAGTCCAATACCGAGTTTTTTGTGTCATTTGAGCATTACTCCAAGCCTTCTTGTGGACTGTCACACTGTGAATTATGAACTCAAATCACACAGGGGCAGTGCTGGGCTGGCATGTAAGAGGCCTCTGATGAATAATCATGTTTATGTTCTCCTGGGGGAACCCCAGCTGGAAAATGCAAATCTTGGGCAGTTAATAGCAATATACACAATTTAAATCCATTGCCTCTGATTAAATAAGCGGCTAAGAATGGCCTTATTTTTAAACAAATAAGTTTTGTTGGAAGCTTATGAATGAATTTGCCAATTCGTTGTCTAGGCCCACTGATTGCAGGCAAAATTCATTTGTTCTTGAGCCAAACTACTCATCACATGGCTTAGAGTGAAAAATTCCTGTAAAATCCTGAGCCTCTGTTTGATGGAAAATTCTGTCCTTATTTAGAGAAACTGGGTGGGGCATTGCATTAGCTCTGGGTGGTAATTCTGCCTCTGCCACTTCCTGGTTACGTGAGTTAACCATGTGGGGGGCATGTTACTCCCCCACCCTGAGCCTCAGTGTTACCAATTGTAAGAGCCGTAGTAATCCCTTTCCATGTCACAGGTGTGTTTCGAACATCCAAGAACATAATGGCCATGATGTCGCTTTGTCATCATTACGATCTAGGGTGCTAGGGTCAGAGTTGTGGGCTTGAATTCCACTTCCTAGCTGTGCAGCCTGGAGAACATTACTCATCTCCTCTGGCCTTCCTTCCATATCTTCATTTGGAAATGAGGGTCAGTGATAAGACCCACTTGTGAGGATTGGGTCAGAAGTACGGAGACAGCTAGGTCTTCCCTAAGGCTGTCATCAGGACCCCACAGCAGGGTCTTAGATCTTTGTTTTATTTTAAGAAACAGAGTCTTGGCTCAGTGCCTGTAGCACAGTAGTTGTGGTGCCGGCCACATGAACTGAGGCTGGCGAGTTCGAACCCAGCCCAGGCCAGCTAAACAACAATGACAATTACAACAAAAAAATAGCCAGGCATTGTGACAGGCACCTGTAGTCCCAGCTGCTTGAGAGGCTGAGGTAAGACAGTAGCTAAAGCTCAAGAGTTAGAGAGTGCTGGGAGCTGTGACGCCACGGCACTCTACCCAGGGCGACAGCTTGAGACTCTGTCTCAAAAAAAAAGAGAGAGAGAGAGAGAGAGGCAGAGTCTTGGTCTGTTGCCAGGCTGGAGTGCAATGGTGCAATCATAGCTCACTGTAACCTCAAATTTCTGAGCTCAGGCAACTCTCCTGTCTCAACCTCCTGAGTAGCTGGGACTACAGGTATCACCAACACACCTGGCTAATATATATATTTGTAGAAATAGGGTCTTACTATGTTGCTCACACTGGTCTAAAACTCCTGGGCTCAAGTGATCCTCCCATTTTGGCCTTCTGAAGTGTTGGGATTACAGGTGTGAGTCACTACAACTGACCTCATCTCTAATCTTGATGGGGAAGGACCCACTTCCAAGATCACATGATTGTTGGTCAAACTGAGTTCCTTGAGGAGTAGGATGAGGGCCTCAATTCCTGGTTAGTTGCTGGCATCAGGTTCTTTTTTGAGATAGAATCTCACACTGTTGCCCAAGCTAGAGTGCCATGGTGTCAGCCTAGCTCATACCAACTTCAAATTCCTGGGCTCAAAGTGATCCTCTTGTCTCAGCTGCCCAAGTAGCTGGAACCACAGGTGCCACCACAATGCCCAGCTAGTTTTTCTACTTTTAGTAGACACGGGGGTCTTGCTCTTGCTCAGGCTGGTCATGAACACCTGAGTGCAAGCAATTCACCCACCTGGGACTCCCAGAGTGCTAGGTTTATGGGCATGAGCCACTGCACCTGGCCCAGGCTCAGGTTCTGGCCACGTGGGCCTCCCCCAGCATGGCTGCTTCCTTCATCAATGTCAGCAAGGGAGAGTCTCCTTGCAAGACAGAGATCACAATCCTATGTGACATAGTCACACAAGTGCTATCCTTTGTTACGCTGTATTGGTTAAAAGCAAGTCACATGTCTCACTCATCCTCAAGAGGAGTCCGTATATTAAAATGCCCTTCAGAATTTCCTCCCTGTGTGACCTCAGACAAGGGACTCAACCTCTCTGAGCCTCAGTTTCTTCATCTATAAGATGCAGACAATAAGACCCACCCCATTTCAATTGTTCTATTCATTCTCTGAGGGGCTATACATGAAGCACTCAGCACTATGCTTGGCCCAGAAAAAGCACTCAGAAATCATTGGGCAAAATAAGCCCCCCCCCCCATCCCAGCGTAAAGGGTTCTCCTTAAATAAGACTTCCCTTCCTCCCAGGGTGTGCCCGTGATGTAAGTGGACACCTCTCTCTTGCAGGCGCATGCTGAGAAGTAACAACAAACCCAAGGAGGAGAAGAGCGTGCTCATCCTTCCACCCCGGGCTGGCACCCCGAAGCTCTTCAACGCTGCCCTCGCTGCCACGGGAAAGATGGGTGGCAGGGGGGCAAAGGGAGGCCAGCTCGCCCACCTCAGAGCTCGGCTGAAAGAGCTGGCC